TATATTCAAATTTCAAATTAATAAAAATAACGTGCGCGTTACTTTTCGTAACGCAGATCATTTTTGCCAAGAAAAAAGTTTTTATTCATACATGCAAAAATAAATACAAGATCGGGACGTAGCCCGCGATACAATAAATAAATTCCCGAAATACACATGCAAAAGTAAACCGATTATGTATGCGAAATCAGCCACCAGGGCCAGCTTTATTAATGTACAAAATGAAAAAAAATACAGGAAGATATATATATTCTAAAACATTGCACTATTTTTCTTCTTTAAAACCCTGCCTTCATGCAAAGGAGGATTTACGTCACTTACCTTTCTTGTTCTTATTTTTTCTTCTTCTCTACGTGGAGAAGATACCGTAGAACTATTTTCTGTATTACTACTTGAACTAACTGGGGGTGCATAAAACAGGAGAGATATATTGACGTGCAGGATATTCTATATAATTTATAAAATTACTTATCAAGCTTAAAAAAAAATCTACGAATTTGAGTGGGATATCATACCCGTAATGTCAATAATGCTTCCACAAATCTAAAAACAATATCTTCATCCGTTGGTTGTATTGGAATCTCAACTGTAAATAAATTATAGAGTCTATCTATTTCGTCCACGCCCCGAACAATAGTATTTAAGCGCATTTCGGTTCCTCTAATTTGAATTCCAATGATACCGAAGTTATCTTTGTCTGGTTTACATCCTTTGTGAGCCCAGTACATACCATCATTCATCTCCCTCCATAATTTCACCTCATCATCATCCTTTTTTTGTTTATCGCAAACGATACGAGAACTCTCAGCAAATATTAGTTCATATGACTTATTATTGCAACTGGCGATAAACATAATATCTGGTCGCTTTCCAACCCCTCTTCGGTCTTTACTGGCTATACTTTCTCGTTCCGCTGTGCTAATGTAGCCAGACTTTCCAATTGGAAGGTCTTTTAATGATGCACGAATCAATGGAACAATCACATTGGTCATGTATGTACCTTCGCTTTGCGATTTGGCTAACTTCTGTCCGAAAGCTGGATTTTTCCAGACATCCCTTCTATAAAAGAATATTATTAAAAACATTTTCAAACCGAATTTGCAAATTATTTTTAAATACTCACAATATTTCAAGGATGTCCGTAGTAACTTTTGCGAGATTTTCGTCAGATTCCTTCCAGCTCTTATCGTGCGAAAATCTGTTATCTGGAATATCCGTAATACTGTCCATGAAGTTAATAACAAACTCATCACACTTATTTTTTATAACGGAAGGAGTTGCTACTTTCATACGTTCCGCAGGGTCCTATTGAGTTCAAAATAATAGCTACGTTAATTCTAGTTTGATAATATAACAAATATATTAGCGGAACTAGATAAGGCTCTAAAATTTCTTACCATAAAAAAGTTGTATGCTTCTACGTCTTCTTCTTCTAATAATTTCACCATTTCTGAATCTGCACAAATTACTTGACTTGCAAGTGGGACTTCCCATGATAGTTTTGAGGTATTCTTCTTTTTCTTTAAATACTTCCGAAAATGTTGTGCATATGGAGCTTCGCTATTTGCAAGATTAGTTTTTAATGATCGCAAGTTCGTCTCGATTTCATTCGGAGTGAGTTCGTCTTCTTGGTTTGATTTTCTGATATTCCTAAGACTGCATACACCTTCATATGCATCATCGAACTAGCGCAAAAACCTTATGTTAGTATGTACAGATAAACTTGTATAATAATAGTGTGCGCACACCCATCAGAATACTTCATGTAAAATTGTCAACCATATGTGGCCAGCATACAATTGACAATATACATGAATGGTATAAATATTTCATCACAAACCAGACCTAAGATCCCACCCCCTTGTGTCTGAGGAATTAATAAATTTGATTAACCCTGTGCCCACAAGGCTCATGGGTGTTCACTTAGATTGGCTATATGTTATTTTGCGCAATCATCAGTTGGTGTTAAAACATGATAATAGATTAATTACTAACCTTCAAAGAGACTTCATCAAGTTTTTGATACTTTTCTGAGTTCTTATCATAACCGCCTTTTAGCTCTGTAACTGCCTGGTGAACCGCTTGTCTTAAATCATCTTTTGAATTCCACATATCATCCTCTACTACTTGTGATATGTGCTGGCGGTGACTCGAGTAAAAAATTATAAAAGGTTTTATACAAGGTAGAATTGGACATGGTGAAATGAGTTATTAATTTATAGTTTGACGCAAGAAATAATGCAAGAAACAATCACTAGTAAGCGACAAATAACAATAAATTCGAGATACTGCCTTTTTATATATTTCTCTTCATCTCTTCTCTGAAACTCAAACTGTTAGAAAGGTTAGATAGAAGCAAAAACATGCGCTCTTACATCAAAAAATTTCTACGATAGAAGTTGAGGCATGTATTTCCACGCAGAGAATTTCTATAAATTA